AACTCTGCCTCGGGCTTCCTGTAGTCAGCGCTGGTCAGTTTCAGCAGCGGCTGAATCTGGATGCCAGTTCCGACTTACATACAGATTCAACTTAAGAACAAACCTACAGTCCCTATCTTGTACATAACCCGGTGACTGCCTGTATTGGGGACTTGGGGCCTGAAGGGTTGGGTACAGTGGGGCTCTGGAAACAGGAGGCTGTAACTGGGGGGGTCTGGTGTTGGGGGGCTCTAAGGGAGAGGGAGATTGACACTGAGGTGTTGGGATGGGGAATGGGACTGGGGGGCTCTGTACCATATCAGCTGACTACTCAGAATATTGTCCCTATTTGACCCTACAGTGGAATAATCATGCAGTGATGTCACATCCCTCCCATGCCAATAAGAATATAAAGTCATGCACATGCAATGGTGATTTCAATGCAGAATCAAACCAAAAGAAAAGTTATGCTGCAAGAGGGAACAAACTCCTCTACAGTTCATCCACCTGAACATTCTCAGCTGAGACGTGACAGTCAAGTAAACTCAATTCTTGCCTCTCTTCTCCTCTTTCCTCCAGTGATAGCCCTACGACACTTCCCTCTCTACTTTGGAGGCCAAAACATGTCTGCTTCATCTCTAGTCCTCAAGCCAAAGCACCAGAACAGGCTTTCTCTCCAAACAGGCAGAGAACCTCATGCTTTTATCCCATCTTGTTGCTCCCCTGGTATATCACTCTACCAACTCAGTGCTGGGTCTTTTTCTGCTTCAAAGACTCCGAAATGGGTGGGGTGGGGTGACATATATCACAGTCACAGGTCCCTGAGATGGGAGAGTTCTGTCATAGGAGAAGCAAATATGACTCATGCAGTTTCTTCTCTTAACTCCCTAGTGTAGACCAGGGCTATGTTAAAATAACCCCCTTTATTTTGAAATAACAAGTGGGACATCTACACTACCAAGCACATTATTTTGAAATAACGGGCTAGTTATTTAGAAATCTGTACTCTTGCTTTCCTCGGGATATTGAACCTGGCTGCTGTTGGCTTCCCCTGCAGAAGGATTATACCTGCATCTGCAAGACACAGACCACACCCTTCAGTTATTATTTTGCCTTCCAATTCACATGAACAAAATAAATATTCATTCACTCATGTCTCCAATGTATGGGCTTCATGTGGTGGTTTTTTTCCTGGTGGATTGGTTTTCTGTCCTCGCATGCCTGACTGCATGCCTATAAGAATATAATATTAATATAATTGTTTCAAATGAATCCCTTGGGAAGAGATGTTAGAGGACATTGTAGTAGAATATAGTACCTGAAACTGCACATCAAGGCTGAATGAACATAACAACAAGCTGTTCAGCAGACTGTGGTTTGAAAGCAACATGAAAACAAAATCTGAGTTGGGGTTACTATTCTGTTTTTCTACAGATCACAATTTCCTTGTCATGTTTTGCCACTTTCTGTTTTTGTGTGCTGTTACCACGATGTTGCACATTACAAAACAAAATTCCAAAGGCATTTAACTTTTTTTTCAGATCAAAAGCTTTAGTGTGAACTATTGGTTCCAGCAGAGATCTGATTTACATTCTAGGATCTGTACTCTGTTCATTTAATTAAATCTAAGCCAAGAAAAGAAAAGATCTTCTGCCCACCCTTTCCTATAAATGCTTGTCTCTGGGAGAGCTTTGGCCACAGTTGTTTTTTCAGGCATATAGTGTGAGAGATTATTCTGTCAATTATCCCTTTGTAAAGCATGTAAGAAAATACATATTTACTCTGTGCTAGTGGGTTAGTACAGTTAGCGAGGGAAAATTAGCTATTCTGTCATACTGGGGCAGAATTATTTACTGCACCGATATAGCATCGGATCCAGCAGTGTAATAGCAAATGCGCTTCTCCACTGAGGGAATTTTGTTTCTTTCCTCAAAAAGCTAATTGCACAACAATGTTTGATGGTTAGCTTTACTGGGTCTGTCAGCTTATTCAGAAAGGGAATAAGGGAATTTGTGTGCAGCCATCTTGGTCTTGTTAACAAGAGAGCAAGAGTCAGGCTAAGTCTGTGGCCTGACAACGCGAGATCTGTGATTAGACGCTGCTTTTGCCTCTCGCTTCCAAAGGGCTGTTTTGATTTATCAGCCTGTGTAGCCTCATGAAGAATCAAAATTCACCCTCTCCCCTGCATCCAGATAGATAGGCTACAGTACTGGGTCTTGAAATCCTCTGTTACAATGTATATGGAATTCAAAGAAACCCAGTGGGCAGCACAGCTGCGAGGACACAGCTTTGGGGAGTCTCTCAACTAGCCCTCTCTCAATAGTTCCCACTGTGTGTTTTCACCTTTATGTCAATGCTATAGGCCACGTAGTGTGGTTTTAGCCGTGTCGGTCCCAGAATATTAGAGAAACAAGGTCGGGGAGGTAATATCTTTGACTGGACTAACGTTTGTTGGTGAGAGAGACAAGCTTTTGAACTACACAGACCTGGTGAAGAGCTCCGTATGACTCTTGGTTTGCTCCAAACCCAGAAACATAAAGAGTGGCTTATCCAAAGCCCTCTGAAATCAATTGGGAGGCTTTCCAGTGAGTCTAGTTAGGCTTTGAGTCAGGCCCATATAGAAATGAAGAAAGTTCCACTGCCAATTCTCCATCTCAGAAGGTTTGTTGAGATAGCTGCTATGTCTATAATCACTTCTCAGGCATTTATCTTAGGAGCACACATACAATAGACTTTTGCAACAAAAACGGTAAGGGGTGACCAAATATGGGGGGGTTGCATTTTTTTTTCTAGTCTGGAACAAAAAGATTATAAGCAAAGTAAGGGACATTTGTGTTTTTCATGGAGATGGGTGCAGGGATCAGGTTAAAACAGCTCATTTGTAGGACCCCAGAGTATAAATAGCTCAACAGAAGTCACATAACAGGACTGTTTTCTTCTACCTTTCTCACACCTGCTGCACATTTCATACTAGATACTATGAAAGATGACTAAACTGATGTATCAATCTCTCTCTTTCTCTTGCAGCAAGACTATCTTGGGAAGCAAGTCTCAGGCTAGCTCCAAGAACAATAGCTGCTTGTAAGGCATCCAGTGAAGTCAGAACAGCTTAAGGCTGTGAGTAATATAATCACTTTTTGTGCTTGCATAGCGTTTCATTTACAAAATGATCTGAGTGTCAGACAGTCAGTAACAAGATATTTTTTTCAAATGTCTTTAGCAGAATTTTATTCCAAATACTTGCTTTTGCCATTATGCCCATTGTCTTGTGATTGCAAATAAACAACAAAGAATGCATTTGATGGTTCAGTTTCTTCTCCTATTTATGCCATTGTAAATCTGAAGAAATTCCATTGATTGTAGTGGAATTCACTAAACAAAAAATTTTAAGGTGGCTAAACTCTTTCTCCAGCTACATGAATCAAACTAAAGCAGATCATCAAAAAATAAGAAAACATAGATCAAAACCTAAAGATCAATGAAAAATAAAACATAAGCCATTGTTTGATTTTTGTTCCTTAGAACAACTTAGAATGACTCCACTAAAATCATGGAATTTCTCCAGATTTACAATGGCATAAATGGAAACTCATAGATATACATTTTAGTGGAGTTCCATCTATTCCATTGTTCCATCTTCTATAGATATATATTGTTGTACTAGGAATTTAGCGGCATATCTGGTTTTTGTTATTTTGCAAGGAAAGATGTTTAAAGGAACATCAACTCAAAAATGGTACTCTTCCTGAAAAGTTTGTACTAGCTGCTGTTACGAATAACATCTGAGACATCCAACACTAAATCAGGTTTAAGAAAAAACATAATTTTTCTTGGTTCCTTCAGTTGTTTACTTTGTGTACTTGGCAGCACTGTCAGTCCTTTTCCCCTTGTCTATTTGTGTAGATTTATCACAGGTGACAGCATATTTAAAAAGAAATCACACACATTCAGATAGGAGTGGGCTATACCAGCCCACATAGAATACATAGAATTACTTTTAATTATTTTTCAATTGAGTAGATTTCAAGATGATGGAATGTCTTTTAAACAAGAACTTTGATAATAACAAACTAGAATACACTTATAGAAACAAGGAAAATAATGTATGGACAGATTCTAGTGGCTCTGTTATGAATGCTACAGACTGAAAATGGCAGCATTGGGTTAGACTTGTGGGAACAGAAAAAGTATGGTAAGTCTGAGGAGATGTATAAGCAAGCAATAGAATTCAGGCACAATTTAAATTGGCACCAAAATGTCATACTGTGACTCACCAGTATATAGGACTTTGAATTGCAATGTGCTGTTGCAATGGCATAATGGCAGTGTATATCACAGTGATATCAATGCAATCCAAATGTGAGGCTGTCTGCCAACGGCAAGCTTGAATTATCTGGTATCTGCAAATAAAAACATGTACCACATGCTTTAAAATGTCATAGTCCTAAGGAATGTTTGCTGCTGAGCAGCAGACTGCAAATCTGTAAGTATAAAATTTAAGATTGCTCTGTTGCAAATTTATTTAAAAAGAATTAGGTTACAAAATGGGCTAAATAAAGAATCATAGTGAAACATACGGGACCTTATTCTCATTTACATTAAACTCCCCTTTACAGTGCCAGGCCAATTTTAAAGGCACCTTAATGTAAATGAAAATCAGGCCAAGATATTAAAAATGCATTTTGTTACCTTTACAGATGTGACAGTATGTTCATGTGTCATGACTGCAGAGTTCCTAGCCAGGACTAAGAAATGAAAATGTTTTGCCATTCCTCATTCACGTTAAGATGATATCCCTAATATACTGTGTTACTCTTGACAGGGGGTACAAAAGCACAATGAATGCTACATAAATAAGGTTATTCTGTGTTGCTTGTGCTTATCTTACATACTGTATATTGCTTTTTGCTAGAAACTAGTGCTTTTGTTTTTATTAAAGCTTTGGTATTGACAAACTGTAATGTAGTAAATTACACTTATTGGAGAGTGTTTTCAACATTCATCTGGACAAGAATTACTTATCATCCAGATCACATGAAATTGTTTTGGGGGTGGGATGGAATTACACTGTATTTTTCTGAGTTACTGCTGTTTGTCTGTCTATAACGTAGCTCACTGCAGTGTTGTCAATTCCCTGAGTGGTAGCCACCTTCAGTCAGTCAGGAGTTTGCTGGCAGGAAAAGAGCAGGTTTGATTGCAGGGTCAGGTGACTACAGTGAGGTCATGTAAATCAGCAGTCTGAGATATGGTTTTGATTTTCCCCTCCCTCATGCCTGCTCACTAATGGTTTTAATTGTAGCCGTCGACAGCAACCACAGATTCCACGGTATGTCTAAATGTATGCACTTGGCAAGTTTGCCACCCTCCAGCTTCTGTAACGCTTCAGTAAAGATGTACATGGATACTATGTTCTACACGGCTTACTACTTTCACATTTAAATACACAGTGTGGTGCCAGCCCACTGACAGTTGATTACTTGTTTGTGAAATGTGCCTTTATGGTTTTGTTATGATGCAGTGGCTATCTAAGCCACGTTGAATGGGCTTGTTTCAATAAACAAGTACTTCACCGTTCTTTATGCTTCCTTAGAGCCACACAGGTTGGCAGGCCCGGCCAAAGAGTTTGCAGGGCCCAAAGTGGCATGTTGTTGTTGGCCGCACTTCGTGGTCAGGAGGCTTCCAGCCAGAGCAGCAAGGGAGCAGCTGGGCGTGTGGGCTCGGGGCCCAAGGCAACTGCCTTGCTCATCTTGCCCTAAGGCCGGACTTGCAGGTTGGACATTATTACACCATTCGTTGCACTTTATAACATCTTGGACCAGCTTTTCAAGGGTCCTTGCTACCCACAGCCCAGCCACACCCTTCCCCCCTCCCGCACTCTGCCCTCCTCCGC